GGAAAAGACGTAGCGAGCTGGCCGCCTCGCTTGGAGCCGCCACGGAGAGCGTCAGACCCGCTGCGTGTGGCCTTCTCTCCCCACGTAGTGCTGGTGCTGTCACCCTGTTGGGTCAGACTCGGGGCGGTGTCGGCTATGGGGCGTGCGGGCTTGGTGGTCCTCTTCAGGAGGAGCTGCCGTGGGTCCCACCCTTGCCTGAAGTTCCCACGCGTGGCATAAGCTGCAACAGGCCTGGGGAAAATGCAGTACCTGAGAACTAGTTAGTTTTTGTTTAGTTGGTGGGGTTTTGGTTTTGTTCTTTTTGGTTTTTTTCATAGAATCATTATGGTTGGAAGAGACCTCAAAGATCATCAGGTCCAACCCGATGCCACCATGCCTGCTAAACCCACTAAACCATGTCTCAAAGTTTGGAGTTTTTTTGGTGTTTTTTTTTTTTTTTTTTTTTAACCTTGAGGGAATCTCTGTGAAATTTTCTAAACCAGTATATTTTAAGTCTTGTGGGCAAGATCGATACGGATAAATAGAACTGTCTTTGTAAGTACATTTTATATTGGTTTTGCAGCTTGTGTACAGTTTTTTCAAAACAATTATTATTATTTTTAATCTATGGAACTGGCAGGGAGCTTTCAGCCTCTTGAATTGTTTTCATAGTCCCCAAATGCTAAGATAATATGAATAACTTTTAACAGTGAAAGAAGATTCCACTTGTTTCATTTGAAAATGCAGTTGAGTCAGTAAAGTTTTCTGAAGAGCATGCCATTAGAAGCCAAAAGATCAGAGTTGTATTCCTTACTTCCCTGGTTATCTATTAGAAAAATAATTTAAGAGATCTGTGAAATTATTTGCTGCTTTTGCATAAGAGGCTTACTTTGAAGGTTGTTTGTAACTTTCTTATTTGGTTGGTTGGGGGTTTTTTGTTTGGTTGGGTTTTGTGTGTTTTTAATTTTTTTTTTCGGGCTGTCTTTTGGTGTGCACTTCTGAGCTGAAATTTATTTCAATGATTAAAAAGGATTTTAACAGTTACAGATGTGAGAGGTAATGATCCTTCATAGAGCAGTAGACCTGCAGACTTCAGTCCAACTGAGCAGTGAACTGCAGTAGCAAGGGTTTAATAAGGTGCTAGGCTTTTTCATTTGTTTGTTTCTTTACTTATTTTTTGTTATTACTGCTACACTAGACCTGTTGCAGTAATGCATTTTGTGCTACCTCACATGCCACCTGTGACATTGGCAGTGCTGCTGAATCAGGCTTTGATACTCCTGACCATTCTTCATTATCCCCAGTGAGAACTTCTGCTGACCTCTGTCCTTTTTGGGAAACCATTTGGGATCTATTATATTTCTAGGTCTTTTGTCACAGGTGCATCTATGATCAGAGATGTTGGCTTTTTCCATGTTAGGAAACCTAGCTTATGTGAAAGAGAAATGCAGAGACTTGTTAAAACAAGCTGTTTTTCTTGCTTGTTGATATGTGGTTAAGACCCTTTCTCCAGTAATTAATGTGTATGTAATTATTTCATTAGGTATTTATTGCACAGTCAAGAGCTTCTGGAAGCCACCGAGATGTTGAAGATGAGGAGCTTACACGAATTTTTGTTATGATTCCAAAATCCTTTACAGAGGAAGATCTGCGAGAGAAGTTTAAGGTACTGATTTGCTATTTGTTAATTGTTTAAATTGCCTTTGTCTTAATTTATCAGAAGGACTGAACACATGGAACTTTAATGCATTTTCAAATATTGTAAATTAATATGCTTTTTAATTGTTCTAGATGTATGGAGACATTGAATATTGCAGCATTATTAAAAACAAGACTACTGGAGAAAGTAAAGGTTTGGGCTATGTGAGGTATTTAAAACCATCGCAAGCTGCCCGAGCAATTGAAGAGTGTGATCGAAGTAAGAATCTGACTGAATTCTTTCAAGTTTTTCACAATAAGTGTGTATCATCATTAATGTATATTTAATTTTTAGTTTTGTTTGCAGGTAAATTATTTATGATGTAAACGTATCATGAGACAAAGTTGTATTGCAGATAAAAGTTATTATTATTAACATTGATTGAGAACAGTCACCTGATTACATTCTTGCAGGACCAAACTGCAGGTGAGATCAGTGAAAAGAGTTTGAAAATGGATACAGAATTTTCTTTCATGCATTATTATTGGCCTGTAGTGTAGGCTTCATACACAGGGAAACCTCATTTTAATGTATTCCTGAGAATATACCTTTTTAATCAAATGTACTTGATATAAAATTAATTTTTATATATAAAAATATATTTGATAATCCATAGGGATTCTGTTATGATTACATTTACTTAAGAACAAATTCACCCTAACTGAAGTTTGAGAGGGTGGTTGGTTTGTTTTCATTTAGTGCCGTGATTAATCTGTTACCGAATGAAAAACTTTGTATGCTTTATGACCATATGTCGTTTATGCTGTAGTACCAGAAAGGTGTTAATGAATTTGTGGTGGATGGCCACTAAGGTGGTCAGGGGCTGAAGCACATGACTTATGAGGAGAGGCAGAGGGAACTGGGCTTGCTCATCCAGGAGAAGAAAGGCCTTTGGGGGAAACCTAACAGCAGCTTTCCAGTCCGACCTCCTATTCAATATTCACTTAGTCACAAATATGAAACAACTTGGTGTATGGGTGTGGTTGTTTTTTTGTTGTTCTTTTGTGTCCTTTTTTTTTTTTCTTTTTCCTCCAGTAATGTATTTGGTGGATCTACATCATATCTATCATAAGTGGTTCTACAAAAGTTACATTTGTGACAATTCTTACATAGGGATATGAGTCTGAGATTACTTAGCAGTTAAATTTTATTTCCTTTTTGCTGTGAGGTTAAAATGAAATTAGTTGGATAGCCTGAGAGTTAATACCTATTTCTTTCACAAAAGCAAAACCTAGATCAGTGCAAAACATACATAAACTGCTGTTACAGCATGGAAGTTCAGACGATTGCCTGTGGAACGTCCCTGAATCCTGTCAAGTATCACAGGATGGTCGGAGTTGGAAGGGACCTCTGGAGTCATCTTGCCCAACCCCTCTGCTCAAACAGTGTCACCTGGGCACTGTAGTTGCTCAGGACCATGTCCAGATGGCTTTTGAATATCTCCAAGGAGGGAGACTCCAAAACCTCTCTGGGCAACCTGTGCCAATGCTCAGTCACTCTCACAGCAAGTAAGCTGCCTTGTGCTTAACTTGTGACTAGGAGTAATTCTATATGGAAGTTGTTAACATTCACATTATTATGGCAGACTTCAAGAGTTATAGATCAGTTGTTTGCCTAAAGCCAGCACTTACAGGGTTTTCTGAATGATAAGTTTCTAAAAACAGTACCTGGAGAGTGCGGATCCAGTTAGATAGTTCAGATGTGCTGAGGTGTTGCTCTGTATGTGGTTGTTTCTTTCAGGCTACAGGGCCATTTTGGCTGAACCTAAAAATAAGTCATCTGAGTCTTTTGAACATGATTACTATAGTAATAACACGAGGCAAGAACCAAGAGGAAATACACTTCTGTTTTGTAAGTCACAGCTTTTTATACTAAAAATGATTTGTAGACTTGAGTATGGTCACAAAGTAAGAATGCAGTTTGGAAGAAGGGAAGCTAATGGAGGCTTAGGTCAACACTTAAATAGTAGATTGGATATTGAAGTTAGAAACGAGCCAGGAATTTTGTTTCTACGTTTTTATGGCTCACATTGCTCTAGTTGGCTGATTATTTTGTGACCAGCATTGGTGAAATAAACATGTTACCTTTAGTATATAATTGACTTAGATTAGTTTTAAAAATTGAATGAAAAGTATGTGTGAAATGAAGGCATGCTAGTGTGATGACTCAAATTATTTCTTTTTATGTTGATTCTTGAGGTGGGCAGCCAGAGTTTTGTAGTTTTGAAAAAAATGAGAGCAGACTTCAAGAGTTGGTTTCCAAACGTCTGTCTGTGTTATCGCGGCTTCCCTTTAACCAAGAACAGCTGTTTGCCCTCTTTGATCTTATTCCAGGACTGGAATATTGTGATGTTCAGCGAGATCCTCATACCAATAGTGGTAAGTAAAAGTACAAAAAGACTTTTTTTTTCTTTCTATGAAGGGAATGTCTTTTAATTGTACTTCAATTCATTTGTGATGCAAAATACAGTACACTTATTGGAAAGAATTAATGTTTTATGTATCAATGGTTGCTGCTATCACTGATGCATAAACCCCAAAATTCAGTTTTGTTTGAACCCCTGTTTACAGATAGGCTTAAATGTCTTTATTTTCAGATAATGGAATCTCAAGAAGGATAGAATCAAAACCATGAGAAGTGGGTTTTGGTCAAATTAAGTTAATAATTTTGGGCGGAATAAATGGAGAAGTTGTCTCAAAAATTATTAGACCTCTAGTTTAAATGTTCTCTGAACAGATCTTTTGAGTTTTCGTCTTGAAATGGGGGTATGGGGCGGTGTCTGTGTGTAGAAGCTGACATGAGTAAACTGGATTAAGTCACTCCAAAACAAATAATGTTTTGTATTGGAAGGATTGTTTTGGTTTCAGTCTTGTTTTACTGTTGCTGAGAAAAATGGGGAAGAGGTCTCTTCTCCAAGAGGCTAGAAATGGAAATGATTCAGAGAGTTAAAATGTAACTTTACAGTACTTGATTCATTGTTGATGGGATAATTGCATTTTAAAATGAAACAGTGTGTGGTTTTATTTCTAATTCAGGGTTAGGGAAGAAGACAGGCTTTCACTTGTGTTGCTTTATTACCAGCTTTTCAAGTTAACGTAAATATAGCTGATCTGTCACTACTTAATCAGTAGTATTTATGAAGAAAACTTCAGTGGAATTAACTAATGTAATGTGTGGTAAAAAGACTTAAGAATTTTGTATCATCCATGACTAATGTGTGGTTTAATCATATTGCTTTATATGAGTGTGGTTTGTTCTTAGAGTTTACCAGTATCATACTGAAACTGTGTGCACTGTATTTGTAGGATACGCTGTGATTCAGTACAGTACTGCTGCATCAGCTATATATGCCAAGTATAAATTGCATGGTTTTGAGTATCCTCCTGGAAATCGATTAACTGTCATTTTCCTGGAAGATGGGAGTGATAGCTCAGAGTAAGTACCAGTACATGAGATAGAAAGTTGTAAATTGTGTTCTAGAGAGCAAAATTTAAAATAAATAAATAAATTTTTAACAGAAGAAGTAACAGCAATGTCACTGTGATCTTGTTTCATACTTACAGTATTTTGTGAAGTTTAGAAGTTTAGCTTTTTTTTTTAATGGCTTAGGATAAACCTTTTGAAACTTACTAGTCTTTGATAAAGAAAAGGTTAACAAATATATTCTTAAGATACATTGGAAAATCTTGCATTTGGCAAGCATCTTTGTAAATTTCTGTAATATGTAACAAGGCTGGAATGTGTTTTTGAGGTTTTTTTGTATTATCAAGCAGATAAATCTGGTTTTGTCTTGGTTGTGTTTGCAGTACTGCAAATAGTAGCCTTGTGAAGCACATATGTAGAGTAAAACTGTTGGGTGCTGAGGATCTGATATCCCCCCACTGTATGGGGATAGTCAGGTTTTACTTTGACCATCTCTGATCTGTTCCTGTGACTTGAACGTGCATTACAAGTTGGAGCGGCTTAGGTAGGCTCCTGCAGTGAATATTTTGGCTTAGCTTTATTCTAAAGGAATCTAGTTCATGTCTAACCTATTCTGGGGTATGAATGAGGACAGTAAGGAGGGACAATGGGGAGATTCACTTCGAAAGTGCATGCTTGATCTAAACTAAATAAAAAAAAAAAACAAAACCAAAACAAATTCCTTGCAACCATCCTTCTTGCAAACAATTTCCTTTGTTCTTCAGTAATTCTACTATTTCATGGTCCTACAACACAGGCTGTGAATCTATGCAAAAAGTGCAATTGCTTTTTCTTATTCTGCAACAGAACAAAGAAAAATTATTGGAAAATGAAATCTGGAAGTAAATTTTCTGACTTCTGAATTGAATCTCTGTGTTCTTTATTGAAACAGGTGAAATTTTTTTGTCCCTTCTGCCTTTTAGGCACCTTTCACAAAATGTAGTGGGCTCTGTAGTGTTAATTTCCACTCCGCACCCTCAGAGTATTTAAAAAAAAGCAAAGAAGAGTTTTGTATCTCTATATGTAGAAATGTATGAGTGTTTTCAGTGAGTTGCAGCTAGCCTGCATAATTTCAGATAATGTCTAGAGTGTCATGAAAGCCTGACTTCATTTTTGTTACCTACATGAGTTTACAGATTTCCAGAGATAATTTTAGATGTGCATTAAAACTTATTTTCTTGTGCTGAACTTAAGATTACTGTAACTTAGCTCTTTCTTTAAGTAGTTTATTATCACTTCTGCTTGCAGCCTCATCAGAAAAATGGCAACACAGCTGGTAACAGCACATGTGTCATCAATGTTGCGGAATAACAATGCCATTGGTCAGCAGTATAGGACACCTCCTGTAAGTTAATATAATGGATACTGTTAATATTCTTTTGAATTGTTGTAAGAAACTTCAGATATGACAATAAAGAACACTGCTCACTTTCTTCCGTAACTGTTTCAGATGCTACATTTTTAAGATGTACCTTTGGTTGGTTTGTATGTTTTTATTCCCTGTAAAGTAAGTTTCCACTTTGCCCAGTAGGCACAACCATATTAAAAAGCCTATTGGAAATTATTCTTTATTTTATTTAGCTTCAAGGTACAAAAAGATTAAATTACTTCCGCCCCCCCCTTGGTTAATTTATACTTGCATTTTTTTCCCCTGTTTCAGCAGGCATTTGGAGGAACTTCTGGCTCACAGTTACTTCAGCCCCAAACAGATGCCATACTTCCACCACACAAAAAAAAAGTTCCACCTGACACTTCTGTGAAGGAAAGGCTTTTCATACTTTTTCATCCCCATCCTTTACCTGTAAATGTATTGGAGGATGTGTTCTGGTAAGACACCATTTACAAATAAGTGTTCTCTAACCAAAAAAAACCTGTATTTAAAGTAAATGTTGGAGATAAAAAAGATTGTCCTCATGGAGATGCTTTCCAGAGAAGACAGTGCACAGTGATCAATAAGTAATAAGTGATCAATAGGTAAGAGCTGCTTTTTGAAACAAATGTGTAGCGGAATTCACATTGAAGCAGAGATGTAATGTCATTAGTATGGCACGTTTATTACTGATTAATGTAATCTGAAGTAAAATATCTAGTCTCTCAATATTTTTTAGCCAAAAAATGTAGTACTTCTGGTTCTTATAGCCTAATTTATTTGGCATTTTCTTGTACATATTTCTGTAAAGAATTTAAGTATTTTGATAAATTTCCACAGTAACTTAAGGCAGTAAGTATAGAGGGGTTTTTTTTCTGATATATCCTGAGACATTTTGATGGTTTACATCTTAACACTATTTCAACTATCCTTTCACACTACCTCCCTATGAGGACCAAAGACTTGAGAGACAATTTTTGCCATCTTTAAAACAGATCTATAGGTCAGCTGTTCTCCAGTATTTTATTTTATTTATTTTTAGTATACTTTTGAAGAAAAAGACTCCCTTTTTTAATAGCTGGCATTTGCAATAAATCTTTGGAAAGCCAAAATATTTTCAAAGCACCGGGAGAGGAAAAGAAACAATGTGCACTTGTGTGGAATTTAAAAACGTAGCTAGTTGATATACTGGATTTTCTTAATCAGATGCTAGAGAAGAAAAAGACTATGCACCCTAGTCTTGACAGTTGTATAACTTCAGTATGAAGCAAGCAGACTTCAATTTTTTTTCTAAAACATTTTTTTTAAGAACTGTCTAGGAATCTCCTGAGGACTTGATAATTTGTTGTGTGTTGGTGTTTATTTGTTTTTTCCATAAAGCCTTTAGCACTTGCTTTCTGAGTAATTTTAGTGATACCTTTTCAAAGATGAATCACAACTAAGGAAGTTAATGTAAGTGAGATGGAAGTTTAGCCTCTAAATTATCTGCTGGTTTGTGTGTGGTTTTTTTGGTTTGTTTGCGTGGTGGTTTTTTTTGGTTTTGTGGGATTTTTTGAGTGGCATTTAGTGTTTGTTGATTATGGTATTGATTAGCTTTATGTTTTCTTTTAAATTAGAGATAAATTATTGGTGCTTGTGGTTCTACTGTAATATTCCATAGAAAACATTGTCTGTGAACTTTTGGTTTTATTTCTATTCCTGCCTGGAATTCTAGAGAAGGGAATGTAAAAATTGGGAGTTTTGGAAAAGGGTAGAACAAGAAAATATAGCATGTATATGAGAATATAGTTTTTCTAGCTATGAAATCATATATACTTCAGATTAGGTAATAGGTATCTGTGTTGCAGCAAAACCTGTAATTTTTTTTTTTTTTCCTTCCCCCCCCCCAGTCGTTTTGGACACTTGATAAAAGTTTACCTTGTGGCTGGAAAAAACGTGGGCTATGCAAAATTTGCAGACAGAGCAAGTGCCAGTGATGCCATAACTGCATTACATGGGAAGATTGTGAACGGCGTCAGGCTCAAAGTGAGGTTGGCAGACTCGCCTACAGAAGAATCTAACAAACGTCAGAGAACTTACTGAGCAGGTGAGTACCTAGTCTGAGCTGTTACTTACACTGAAGTTCAACTACTTGAGATAGTGATAGGCACAGTATTTTCAAGTTAGATATGAACATGTAATGATAAAGTTTAAGTCTATTTTTAGCTAACATCTTGAAATTTAATGTATGGTATGTGTGTGTATACATATATATGTATATATGAGTGTGTGTATGCTTATATATGCACACGTACACTTTATTTTAGTAAAAATCTATTTTTATAATATTTGAATGAATATGAACCAGTTGATTAGCATCAGTCGATGCTCATAGAAATACTCATTTTATGTACATAAGAGTATCAGTTAACATTGAAAAGAGTGCAAAAATAAACAGTGGAACTGAGATCAGCTTGTGTGTGTCTTTCTTTCATTAAAAACACATGCCTTCACAATGGTGATGGATAAAGTTGCAGAGTTCAGCCTTTGAAGGGCAGAGGAGGGAAAGGGTAAATAAAAAAAGGCCATGGGAAGGTCAAGGAAGGTTGCCAGGTGAAGCCAAAGGTTTGGGATATTTGGGTCATCTGGATTCTCAGAAATGAGGTGTAGCTGAAATATGTGATAGTGAAGAAAATATTGCAGAGCCTGTTTTGGAGGGATTGAGGTGTGTGTTTAAGATAATTAGTTCAAGAATTTATTAGTTGATGCTTGTGGCCTGGGAAAGCTGGCTGAGCTCCTACAGAGGTTTTATAGACTTCAGGGACCAAAATTCCCTTTTTGTTTTAAAACATTGGTTTGATGCAAATTATATCCAATTTCTTTTTTTTTTAAAATTTATTTTTTGACATTAGGACTATTACCGAAAGAGAAATATAGTTGGGAGAGGAAAGCCTAAGCCCTGTCTTCTAAAAGTTAACCCCCAAATATTACTGTAGCTTCCAAATAATTTCAGTGGCCATATTATCTTTATAGGGGACATGCAGTTTTGCTTTAACTCATTCAGAAAACATCACTTGAAATCCTCACTCTCTTTGCATCAATATTTTACTTCTAAGCTTCACTCCTTGTACCTTTCTTTGTGTAGATACTCTTTGTGACCCAGGAGTTGCAAAGCCCAAAAAAGATTTTGCCTACTGTTTTCTTTACCTCCTTTTTCCTAAGGACTTTCACGTTGTTTTCATAAGCAGCAGTTACTAAAGGTGGCCTTAGTCTTTATACACAACTTGCTTTTTAAAAAAATTCATTGAATTGTAGCCGAAACTTATTTGAAATTTTTTTTAATCAGCAGCTCTGATGAATGCAATTTTAAGTAACTTGTACAAAGATAAGAACATGGGTACAAAGGGTTTTGTTTTTGTTTCTAATGTGTTTTCTACTTTCAGTAGTAAAAGGCCAGCCTCTTGGTCACTACAGGAAAAACTGTGATGTAAAGTGTAATGTAGTATCAGATCTACCTTGACTACTTTTTACTCGAAAAGTATAGATACGATATGCATCCAAAATTAGAAGGATGATTTATCCTTACTTTTTCATTATTTGTTTTTAAGAAAGGTAAGAGTGAGAAGACTGGGAAGTTCTCTTCTGATTGTCAATCTAAAACTGATTATTTTTTTTTTTTATTCTCACACACACACACACACGTGCACATATACAAGCACACATTTTTCCAGTGTGATTTTTAAGAAGATTCTTTAAGGTGTCCAGCTGGTCACCGAATGGGATTTTCAAAAGGCTAAAACTTACTTTATATTTCAAATTGTTTTAGAAAATTCTAATGTATACCTATTATTGACTATTTAGAAACCTGAACTCCCTTATAAGTTGAGGGTAAGACATACACATTTGCTATTGTGCCATTTTTACCTAATTAGAAAACTGGAGAAATAAGGTCATATTTGAAGAATCATCTTTTTACACATGCAAAATTACAGCAGAGCTCTTTGTCCTTTCCTAGGTTTTTGTGTTTCTGTAAATTTTACAAATAATAAAGAGTACTAGTTTTAGTTTGTTATGACACCCTAAATCTGCCTTGGACAGATTACTTGTAATTCTGGTGCAAATGACTGCTGAGTATTTCCCCTCTGGTGAGCCATTCATCTGCTGCGTCTGTGCAGTAACACAGGTAGAAAAGCTTTCTAAATTTACTGTTGTTACATCTTGTTACATCCTGTACATCACATTCCTGATTCTGAGTCTTTTAGCAGGTTGTCTTAGTATCTCTTAGCATAGACAGACAAAATTACTTGCTCTATTTTTGTCCTCTAGCCAGTTTCTCAAATTCAAATGAAATGATGCATAAAAAAAGATTCCATCTGTGCTCCTTTTAAAAGGGCTTGCCCATTTAAATCAAGCTTACCACTGTGTGACTGCATTAGACTGACCGACAAACAAGTTTTGCAGTAGTACAGAGGCTTCTGTTTTGCTTTGAATTAAGGCTTTAAATTGTGCACATGAAAGGGGATGTAATTGTCTTTACCTCTGAAATACTACTTTTTTTTTTTTTAAGATGTGAGAACATTAACTTTTGTTCTTTTTGAATTTTAGCTGTTCTTGTTGAATCTTAAGCTGAAACTTCTGTGAGTTTTCACTTAAGGAAGTCATTGCCTCTTTAAAAAAAAAAAAAAATCGTTTCTGAAGTCCTGTTGTATTGTTTGCCTTTTATCTCTAACGGTGACTGGATTTCTGCAATAGTCCTTTCTATACAAGGTTCTCTGATTAAAATCCAAGATAAGATCTGTGAATTCAATAGAATCTATATAAAAATAAATTTAATTCAGTTTAAATAAAATATTTATTATTTCAATGCAGTTTTTATCTGACTTTTTGAAGTTTTTTCCCCAATATTTTTCTTATGTAAACTATGTTTTTAATATAATTTACAAAACTGTTTCTTAAAAATTGTTTTATGGTAATGGTATGCTACTGATAATGCTCTTGCAATGTAAACTTCTGATTATAAGAACAGTCTACTATCTTACAACAACCTTTGTTTATCAGGAGAATTTGAATACATGTGTATTAATTTTCTAAACTAATCCATCTAATGAATTTTGCAGGCTCTGGCTCTCCTACAAGTCAATGAAAATTCAATTGTTTATATGAGTAGTTAAAAGTAGCAGAGAAATGATGGAAATACAGACCAATAAGGTTCTCTTAACTACTTTAAGTTCTAATGTAAGTTTTTTGGGGGGTGAGGTTCTCCTCTCTTACGCTAAGTAAGTATTAATGGTTGAGATAATTACTTTAAACCATCTTGCTTTGGGTCGGCGTAGGCTTGAGAAGACAACTGCAGTGTCTACTCCTAGGCAGTTGCTAAAAGCAGGAGCTGTCTTAATGTTCTCGATGTTGACCAGCTTATGCTCTCTACTCAGGTTTTTACATTGCTTTGAGTATTTTGTGAGAACCTCCCTGTGATTGTCTGATGCCTGTTGTGTAAATTGTATCACTCAAGAATAGAAGAGGAAGGAAAGAATTTGGTATCTTTCAGAAGAATGTATTGTGGAATTCCGACTGATCTCTTCATTGCAACCCAGTACTATTTAAATACCATGCCCCTACCCACAAATGGAAAAAAAAAAAAAAACAAATCAAAACAAACCCCACCCCAAACATTTTTCACGAAACTTTCAAGTAGTCTTTAGAAAGCAGAGCTTCTAACTAGCACTGCGTTGGGAATGCAAAACACAAATATCTAGGGTTGGATTCTGGGGCTCTTAATAATCGTTGCTGATGGGCTTTAACCCACAACAAATGCCTTTATTGCATTTTTCCCCTTCTGAAAAATGTTTGGTGTTGTTTTAAAATAATTGGTTACTAAGTTGAAAAACATTTATTCTGTCATGAAATACTCGGTTATTGTTGTGTTGTATTTTATTATTCTTGTTCTGAAAAAGTCATGCATCACTGATTTGATTTGCATTCAGTTTTTTGGTTAAAACGTCATTAAAATCATGAAGTTTAATGTGTATATTTATGATGATTTATTTCTGTGCAAAAATGTTTTTTAAAAAAAGTAATTGTATCATAGTTGAAATATACTCCAAAATTAAAAAAAGTTAACTATATTTTGTATCAACAGTATACTGCAGAAAAATTGCTGGCTTTCACACACTGCTCAGAAAAAGAGGTACTCCTTTAAAAGCTAGAGAAGCATATATAAAACTTTAATATTATTCCTCTAAATATATTAAAAGCCTTATTTATATGCTGTTGTAATGATCATGTTATATATATTTTAAAATAAAAATAGGTATGTTGCTTTTTGATACTATTTTTGTACTTGTGTTTTTTCTACAGAAACTAAATAATGACATGACCCTCAGCTAGCTGACTGACTGACTGAAAACGTGACTAGACATGGTTCCTGTGGACAGTGACAGCTTTTTTTTTTTTAATTGTTTCTTAGTTGATCTTCTCTCTCTCTCTCTGGTACTTTCTGGTTTAGAAAATGCAGACATGCAGTTTTGAAAACTATCTAGGCGCTGAAAATTGTAAACTGGTGGTTGTTCTTGTAATAGTCTATAATCTTGTATTACAGAAGTCTCTCTCTTGTGTTTAACTGAATTCCTCCTCCAAGATGGAAATTACAATGATGGGGGAAATAAAGGAGTCAGCATTTTGTGGCTTGACTAGTTAATTGAGAATGATTTGGATTATAACTGTTAAAATAGAAGACATTTCTCATGATCCAAACTGCATTGAAAACTGAAGTACAGCAAGCAGTAAATTCAAAGAAAATGAAGTAACTGCTTCAAAAACTGCCTGCAAACCTGACAGTATTAAGCTAGATTGAAGAAAATAGCTGTAATCAAGAAAGTGATTCAATGACATTCTTAAATATTTTGTTGATTTGGGCCAAAAGTATTCATTATGCTTTGTATGCTGTTTCATGAAAAGGACGTTTGACTGTGGGTCAGACTACCAGAGCTACTTACATTTATTCTTTCCTATCCTGAGGTCTTTTGGTTATAACTGAGGGGAAAGTATGGAGTCTAGGGGTGTGTTTTTGTTTTGAGGGGTTGAGGTTTGGGATTTTTTTTTCTTTTGTTTTTTGAGTGTGTGGTTTGTTTGTTTGTTTGTTTGTTTGTTTTTTGAGACTTTCAATGCATATGTTTGGG